GGTAGTTTTGTTGGTTTTGTTTTACTTTTCAGCGAATTTTAGCCTACGCATTTCCAAACAAGCCAACGCCTTTTTAAACAAACACAACTTAAGTAGGTATATCCAAATGTAAAAATGTGAAACCTTTTCACTCAATTCAGCGAAACTAAAACTAATATCACACATACACACAAAAGATGCTTGAAAATGAACTATTCAACCTACAACTTGATAATGCATAAGCATTTAATTACAAATGGTTTAATGTTATATCAAGGGTCTCAAAAATATTTTTCATAAGTAGCAAGCAATATTTTTATTATTGTATAATTACTTTGTTTGGTTTTAAAGTAAGAAGTGGCTATATAAACATAATATATTGTTTTATGTATACTACATACAAGTTGTGAAAAGTTTGCTCTACAGCATATTATTCGAATCTCAAAATGGAAATTATGTCTTATTCTTAGTAATCCCTGAATTCAGTTATACCATTCATTCGCCTCGTTTTCAAAAACTTAAAACCGAACAAGAAAAAACATTAACTTCAACGGCAGCGAAACTACAACATAATACTCTTTACAAATAAATAAGATTCCACACAAGAACTAAATTTTGATCGGTCTTTTTATATGGAACATATATGATAGAACGGTCTGATCTGAAAAATTTCCTCAAATATTATAGCGTTTCCTTGGAAAATATTCCATGCCAAATTTCGTGATAATATCTCGTAAAATATTTATAAAAGTTTTCCATACAACAACATTTTCGATCGTTTAGTTTATATGGCAGCTATAGATGCTATAGTTGTTTGATGTCGACGGTTCTGACAAATGAGCAGCTTTTTGGGGAAAAAAGGATGTGTGCAAAATTTTACGTTGTCAAAAATTGAGGGAATAGTTCGTGTATATACAGATGGACATGTAGATAGTCGGGCAGATAGGCAGGTAGAGAGATATGGCTAAATCGCCACAAGTTGTCAAGCTGATAATTTATATATACTATATATTTTATAAGGTCTCTGACATTTTCTTTGCGATGTTATAAACATCATGGCAAACTTAACATACCTTGTTCAGGGTATAAATATGGAATTAGTCTTCTTCCACGTCTACTTATTTAATTATACTTAATGGCCTCTAATATAAAATAGTTGCCTTTTTAGGTGTCTTGATGTATGAAATAGTAAAGACATACAGCATCTTGGTTCGGCCGTGACACCTTCCGTATGAGAAGAATTGAAAAGCTTTGCTATTGGACTCCTATAAATTTAATAGATTGCGATCATTGATTTCTTAGGTAGGTATAGGGCCTTTTCTGGGATGATCTGCGGTGTAAAGTCCTTTGATATAATCAACACCCAAGCTATTTTATTACTACTGGTTGGAGGTAGGTACGATTACTAGATAATATTACTGTGAATTCTAAGTTAAAATTTCAGCAGGATACACGTGATATTCTCCGAGAAGAGAAAAAAATATGTCACTATTCTACCAATTAAATAATATTTTTAAAATTGTAGCGATTACTTAACTGTAGATTAATATTTTAAATACTTGTAGATAATTGCAGTTGAATCTCATTCAAAGTGTTCAACTAAAAGTATTTCATTCAAAGTGTTCAAGTTAATGAGTACTTCAAAGCAATTGTTGTTGTTGTTTCGTGGCAATATTGTCATACCTGCACCTACCCTCCATCAAACAAATAAATATATCATACTCCAAGAGCTCATCATATTTTTAAAAATTTCGATAGCATATTAAATTTCACTGGAACTTAGTGCTTCTAACTTCGAAATATATTGAATTAAAAATTTTTGTATAAAGAAAAAAATAAATAAATCCGTTCTAATTTATATGCGATTTTTCAAATAAATCCTACAACGGACCACAACACTTTGATAGAAATACTTTCATCATCTTTATTGTTTGGGAACCTAAGAATAAGATAACACGCAACAATAATATTAAGACAGACAAAAGCAAACTAATGTCAGCAGCAATTCATAGAAGCTTATGTATTTTCATCTATTCGCTTTGTGTCGCAATGTTTATAGTCAATTAATATTGAAACCCGGGAATTAATTAGTATTACTTCTCATTGTCATATGTAAAAATAATAATTTATTTAGAGCCAACATTTCAATAATAATAATTACTCCTGCCTGCATGCGCTTAATTGTGCTGCACAACAATTTATATCAATATGCAATATGTAAGACAATTAATAATTGAAGTTGAATTTCGTATGGCATGGCGTATACGTAATTAAATTTTTATTCAGGGCAATGGTTACCACAAAAGTACGCCGTTCCCTGCTTCGTTGCTCACTTCTAATTAAATAAGTGCGCTAAGTGCAGTAATAAGCTTTCATAATTCATATTCACTTAACAACAAATAATTGATTTTCAAAAGAATAAACAGTAAATACAATTCAGAAAAACTAAAACACGCACTTTGTAAGCACTTCAAAGTAAAAAGCCAATATTCCTTAATATAAACTGCCAGTGGGTTGGGTTAGGTAACTTTAGTCTGGTAGGTACTTATAAGTCACGCATAGACCACTTTTGTTCCTAAGCGATGTTAGCGCTGGGCGCAAATTTCAATAAGTTTTGCGGCCTCACTATACTTGTAGACACCTCTTCCAGTGTTTTTTACTAGGTCGAAACAAATGTACAAGGGATGCTCAGTTGTTTGACTGGTGCTTTGACATTTCTTGCAGTCATTTCGATCTCTTTTATTAAGAGTGAGTATAAACTTTGTGTAGTTTTGATCTACCGTTTGGCACACGACTTTTTCAGTTTCGCAACCAGGTATATCATTCTATCTAATTTTTACCTCCCTTGCCATGCTCTTGTTAAGATCGTCGTAAAGACAATGCATAGCTTTACCAATGTCGTCATGGAATTAACAGGAACTTTTACAGACTAGAAAACTACTGATTATACAAATAACCGTTAGTGGGTCAAAATATGGTAGTATCGGTATAACATCAAATACTCTGATACGAAACTTCTCTTTAAATACAATTAGAACAGGTTTTCCATAAAGTTCTCTGCCCTTAGCTCTCATTTTAAAAATTGGCTTAAATATGTATGAAAATTCGGGTTAAATCTTGTATATATAGTACTATAAGTTTCACTTCGATATTGTTTGATTTTACGCATCACTTAATATAATATAAAATATACTCAGAACACGTTAAACTATTGTCAATATTGAACTTTTAAGCAGAAGCAGACAATCAGCAAACGGGAAACGCACAAGCAAACCGATTATAGCTTGAAATCAAAGCAAAAATCAATAACCCAAGGAATGTGTGCAAAATAAAAAGGTCATGAGGCAAGTACATTGGTGTAACCCGCTTTTTGCCCCGCCATTTACGGCAGACTATTATATAAACTGAAATGGGGGAAAGTGACACAATTTCAGCAGAAATCGTTTGCATTGTATTAGCAAGGCAACGCGATACAGAAGAAGCAATGAATGCGTTGGTAAGAGTGCAAATAATTTCCAGTAAATTGCGTGTTAAGTATGCGCCATGTGGGCCTCACATACTCGCAGTTATTTGCTTATTGCGGTTGGGTTTCATGTGTTGTTGCTGTTGGCACTTACGACGATTGTAGCAGCTATTGTCTGGCAGAATATTAAATTGTAAGTTTAGTTGGCATTTTTTGAGTCGCAATCGCGTAAAGATTTTATGCTTGCGCTGGGAGAGAAGCAGACATTGCCCTTTGCTTTTATGTAAGTGTGTTGTTGTTTTGTGAATTGGTTTAAGATTTTTATCGGCTAGCCATTTACAACACTATTAAATTGGCAATAAGTTTTTAACTACAATTAAGTTGGTGACAGAAAAAATAATTATGGAGGAGAGGGGAGGGATTTCGAAAATATACAGTATGGGATGTTGATTCGCGAATAGGAAAATATATTTAAAAAATATATGTTAAATACTCACGAATAGAAATATGGATATGGGATATTAATATAACCAAGCATATGACTATGACTAGGAATGATATTATTAGTATACATATGAGTATGTGTAGGAATATGAGTATGAGTAGATATGAGTATGAGTATGCATATGAGTATGGGTGGGAATAGAGGTATGAGCATACACATGAGTATATGACTATGAGTATGAATATGAATATGAATATGAGTATGCGTAGCAATATGAGTATTCGTCGCATTATCAGTCCAAGCATACAAGTATATATGAGTAAGAGTACTTCCATGAATATGATACTATCAGTGACTGAAAAAGAGACGGGTAGATCGAAGACATTTTCTGCCGCGCTCAAGCTATGCAACAATTTTATGCAAATTTCTTTCTTCAACAATTGATGATGATTCGAGAATGATAAATGAGTATCTATATAAATATAAGATGAGAGATATAAGATATAGATATAAACATAAATGTAAATACAGATATGAGTAATAAATGTGATATTTTATTAATAAAAATGTGTAAATTACTATTGTATTTGTATGAGTTAGAATACTTGTATGAAAATGTATGAGTGTATTATATATACTAAATTAAATATGAATATGAATATAATAATCAATTTCCGTCTCTTTCCATTGTCATTTGATACAAACCACGGCTGCATTCGGGATACTCTTGAAAATGCTGAAAAACGCCATCAACTCACCGCATATGGGCTCACCAAAATCCATAATCAATTCAATTTGTCACAATCGGATCCCATATTTTCCAACGTAATACCAATTAATTGTAATACCAACGCCAACAACAACTGCAATTATAATTGACTGTCCACCTCAACGAATGTCAACAATGTTAAATGTCACACGTGCCACTCGACTGGCTGCAACTCAACTGACCTTTGACACAACCAAACCACTGCTAATCAACTGCCATAATATTTATACACTTGGACATTCGTAAATTTCGCCATGCCACCAACATAAATATATGCTCATATTTTGCAATTCTGTGACACGTTTATGCACGGCTTGATTGCTGTTGGTGTCTCCCTGCCGTAGATGCCTGCCATCCATATGAGCCGTTCAAATGTCCGGGTGATGGTAATTGCATTTCGATTCAATATTTATGTGATGGTGCGCCCGATTGCTCCGATGGCTACGACGAGGACATGCGACTTTGTACGGCAGGTAAGTGAAAACACCAACACACTCATATGCGCATTCGTGAGAATAAATGCGCTTGTGAAAATTAGAGTGAAGCTAGTTGGCAATGCTAGGAAATAAGAATTCACAAAATTTTATTGAACGTAATTGACAATCGCATTGGCTACATCGGTATTTGATTTTGAGATTCCACAGAAGGAATAGTTCGTATATATTTAGATACAGAATTTACGATTATCTATAGATAGACGCCACGGAATTTAAGCTTGCATTTTTTTACACTAAAAAATAATACCCTTAAAAAGAGCTCTCGAAAAAAATAAACCTCTGGCAAAACATAAACTTTAAAAACCTTTAATTATTCTACTATTTATTCTGCGGACCGAAGTCCATCTAATGACTTAAAATTATCTGATAAATAGTCGTATTGCTTTTGAAGTACTCTTTAAACTCGTATCCACCCCCTTAAATGAAGAAAAGTTCTGACGACCGCTGCTCATAACTTATATCCTCAATTCGATTCAGTAAATATGCATTTGGCTTGATTGGCGAAACTCTCCCATAACAACCTATAACAAAAGCAACAACAGTGATGAGTGGATCGTATAAAACAATCTCTCTTGCAGCACCGACGCTGTACGGAGCACTGGCTGTCAAAATTGACGAATGTGCTCAGCTTGGTGTCAGTTGCTCGAAATGCATTGGTCAGGAATAAATTGCTTTTTAAGCCTCTAAGGCTCGTAGACGAGAACGGTGAGAGTCGTGTGAAAGATGATATGTACTATATATACGAGTTTGCAGTATAAATATATGTATGAGTAGGTATGTAAGTCGCTATCTTATATAGTGGTAGATATATAATATATGGAAATAGTAGGTATATACGTGTGTGTTACACATATGCTGACAGCGAGCGCGATAAATAATGTGATAATATGACATTTGAAATGCAATATGTGTAATAAAGACTCGGTTTTTATTAATTTTTGCATTTTTGTGACAGTCACTCTTTTTCTACGCAACGAAACAGCATGAACCCCTTTTTCGCATCAATCAATGCTAATTAAATATTGTAATATGTATACAATTAACGGTATGACAGAAAAAGCAGCTGCGTAAATACATTTATTTTTAATTTTTCTTACTAAGTAGCTCACAAAGTAATCAAAACAAGAGAAAATGTTAACTTCGGTTTCACCGAAACTATAATATCCTTCACAAATACAAAATATTCCTTACAAAAACTTGATTCCGGTCGTTCAAAAACTGGAGGACTAGTTCGCATATATACACTCAGATGCACCGAGGGACGGGATATGGACATGGCTAGATTGATTCAGCGCATCACTCTGATCATTTATATATTCATTTATACAGCCTCCGACATGTCTTTCTGGGTATTACAAACATTGTGGCAAACTTAATGTACACTGTTCAGAGTAAAATTAGTAAGGCCCAACGTTGTAAAATTATATTAAAACAAGTAAGAAAGCGCAAGTTCGGGTGTAACCGAACATTTTATTTTCTCGCGATTTTCAAAGATCAAAGGGTGGAGACATTCCTTGGTTCAATGCATGAATGAATTTCATCCATTTTCGCCATCAAACTGCGGTATATTGAATATAATACGTTAACTTAATTATACGATCTATTATGTTATCTTACACACTGGCATTTGATTACTGCATAAGAAGTTGTATTAAGTAATCAGTGAAGGTCGTGAAGACGTCGATAATTTGCCTCATGCGAGTTGTTCATCCAACTCTGACAATGACATCTCTTAGGAATAGACTGAACACATTTTGGTTAATGTTTTGGGTATGAAGCGTGTCAAAGCTGGATTCGTATCAAAAGATTTGAAGCTATTACAAATGTAGCTAAGAATTCTAACATCATAAAACGCATCATTACCAGTTTATGAATATGAGGTCGAAACTGTCCAACAATCAAGTGAAAATCTAATAAATTGGGCTCCAAATATGAGCAAAACTCGCTGAAGGCCATCTCAATCAAGGCTTGCATTGACTCAGAAACCTAGTTAGGAGACGGCAATAAAGATTTGTATTAAAATACGTGAAAATTTAGTTTTGGTACTATCTCCACCTTTCAAATATTGTTCAACCGTAGATGCTCATCCCTAATGTTGTGACAACACTAAACAAGAATTTAAAACTCTTATTGTACTCCGGAAAATTTTCAGTTTCAAATAATATGAATTCACCATACACTTACTACAATATATACTATTTAATTTCTCAGAACATAGAAAATTACTACATCCTGAAATATAAATTATATTAGAAGACCATTCAACTTGATTAATTAAAAGTACTTTATTTTGTTATGCAAACAATGTTAGTCCAACTTAACATAAAGCAAAAAGTATTAAGCATTTGAAACTCCACACACACACACAAGCGTTTACATATGTTTGCATTCACCTCAATTATTTTAAGGCCAATTGCTGCATGGAAACGAGTAATATTCATTGCGCTCTCATGAGGGAAATTTATTACAATTTTTTAGTTATGACCTCTGATATTTATTAATTTATTTACGCTTTTTTTTCAATTTGTATACAAAAACAAGTGTGTGCACTCGGTTTTTAGTTTATTCGCTCGGTCCTTTAATGCAATACGAATTTTATTTGCACCTTCGGGGAAATCAGAAAAATGCCAACAGAACTGCAATATTTTCACGAAGTAAAAGCAGAAAAACGAAATAGAGAGATATGCTGTTGTTGTGCATAAACTTAATAAATAACTTACATATACAGCGACGAGGACAGAGAAATGGAGTAAGAGCATAGTATAGTACTTATTGAAATAGCTTGGGGCATGTTTTGTCTTTTAGTGGGCACGAAAGGAAGACAAATACATACATATATACAAATATATAAATATATTGCTTGCGTGCATATTCCTATGGTCATATGGGTTTCATAAAGCACTTGTGCTTACACCACAGCATCAACATAATGAAATAGTGTTTAAAGTAAAACACCGAGTTTGGATCTAAGCATTAAGATCTCAGCTAGATTGGTATAAAGACTTTTTTTACTTTTGGTTCTCAGCAAAAATTGCACCATAATAACACCGAACTATATAAACTTATGGAGTCAAACAAATATTTTTGTTTTCCAGCGAGATTAAGGCAATATTGAACCACACGAAATTGAATTCATACTAATAACATTAATATTTTAGTCTGGCCCTCTTCAGACCTTAGCACTTGAGTGATTGTTATATTTGCTATTCAGTACTTTTAGCAGCCTGTTGAAAAGTGGCTTAATGAAAACTAACAAATTAGGCGCCAATATTATTAAAGAAATAAAATTTAATAGATTTGGAGGTTCAATATATCAGATGATTGTGAGAAGCTCCTACCTTTAATCGATGGTAAAGGATACGGCTCTACGTATCAAATTAAGAACTGATATGGAGGGTATTTCGCATCAGTTTTCTTTAATGAACCATCAATGAAAAATCCCCACAATTTAACAGCCAACAACGCTTCTTCCATGGTTCACCTAAATTACAAGCAATAAAACTTGCAACCAATCCGCTGACAATTTCTCATCATATGAATCATCTCAATTTTTGAAGCACACATTTCCTTTAGTGTAATGAGCGTAACGGAAAACGTTAAGAATACTTTAGCACGAAACGATAAAATTTTAAACGTACCTAGCTTCTCTTCGAATTTTTTGTTGAATCATAAAAAATTCTTTAAATTACTTTTATGGGTATTTTAATTTATTTTGCTGTCTACAGGACACACATCGCTCGCATACGCAACTCATCTTCTGTAATGCATTTCCTTAACCAATAAAAATCAGTAAAAGTGTTTATGGATAACTTAGATGAATTAGGTTTGCTCAAACCTTTGCTTAAATTTTCCAGAGTCAGAGTTAGTCATAAGTTCTTGCACAGAATGATATACGTACTGAGAGTAGAGATCTAAAAGTTATACTCAATCCATTTCCATAGCATTCGAGTTTATTTGAGGCAAATAATAATTGATTGCCAAACCTGTAAACTCTTCAATCAATATGGCTTAGGTGACTACAACCATCTTGCGGGAAATGTTATTCTTCACAAGCAATATATACTTGTATGTTTTAAGACTTCATTCTTTTGGCGTATTTATAATAATGTATAATGAAAACAAGAGGTAACGAATGCCGTTAAAATCTGCCTACATTCAAAAACCTCACTTTTGAACCTGAGATAACATATCCCTCGCCGGTATGTGAGTGGAGGAACAGCCACCAACAGTAGCTTCTGCGACGCAGTGGTCCAAGTTTTCAGGGATAAAATTGAAGGTAAAAAAAATTTCAGCGTGACCCTGTTTAGACCCCTTTAAAAGCCCAGCTTCTCTGAGCCTTGAAGCAACCTTCGCAGCAATGCACCTGCCGACAATATCCATGGGTTATATGTATGATCATAATGTATCGGAGTGTATATCTTTTAAAGTGCTTTTTATCTGTGTGTGATTACAAAATATCAGACAATGGATGCCTGTCTAGGAAAATTATTAGGTGATTTTCGAAGTTAGGAAATGGACAGTTTAAGGGTTGAGCTATATAGAAATAAGTATTAGATGGTAGGGTTTGAGGGTAATGAGAGGTTCTTAGTGTTACACAGGGACTAGTGATCTGTAAAACATATATTATATGTATATGGAATTATCCATAATGATTTATTAGTGTGTTACCTGCGGCAATATTCAGAACACAGATGCTTGAAATCGACCCGGTTTCTAAACAGCAGACTGCTGTCGCTATAGTGCTCTGTCTTGAGCAGGTAAACAATTAAAAACAAAAAGAAAGAATGTTGAGACAATATGTTATTTTTTAATCATTTCCATTCATTTTGAATAAAATTGTGTTAATCTCTTACCTATTAAGTGTCGAGATTTTCAGTGAATTATAATATGGAAAAAATTGATAACTAAAAACAACCGTATCGGATTTTGCCCGAAAAAATATGGTCACCTAATACTATACCCTTTAAATTTACAAAAGATTGCAAGAACTTTGATCGGTCAGTTTACCGGGATTAATAATAGAAGAATAAACAATTTTTATTAGCACTTAAAGTAATTTATTTACGAATTTGTCTTTTTTGCGAAATCTACATTTTTATACAGACTTCTCTTTAACCATGTGTTCTCTGGCTTTGTTTCCTTGCAGCTAAACGCCCACCTGTTGAAGAGACCGCTTCTTTCCTACAAAGTCTAATCGCCTCGCATGGTCCCAATTACTTGGAGAAGCTGTTCGGCAGTAAGGCTCGCGACGCACTCGCTCCGTTGGGGGGCGTGGAGAAGGTTGCCATAGCCCTGAGCGAATCACAGACGATTGAAGATTTTGGCGCCGCATTGCACTTGATGAGGTAAGTAATTGAATGATAGTAAGGCAGACGAAGGACGAATAAAATTAAGCGTGTCAGTGTCATATAATCGTATATATAATACATTCGTATATATAGAGGTATATATATACAATATGAACAAAAACTTGTTAAGGCAACTAAAATTCTGCGAATTTCAATTAAATACGAAATAAATACTCTATATATATATATATAAATATGAACCAAAACGTGTCGTGGCAACCGATGAATTCTGAAAATTTTAATTAAAGCAAATACATTTGGAGAGAATATTTAATTATGCCGTGCTTTATTAATCACTTTAATGTCCACCAACAACCAAACGTATGAAAGCTTAGCGAGTATTTATCTATACGACTAACTCTATCGACGCTTATTTGACTTTTATTTGCTGCATTATAAATTTACTTTGATCCAACATCGCTTTTAACAAAAATTTTAATAATTTTATGATTAAGACTTGGTCTCAGTAATACTTATGAACAAAGTACATTGCAAACAAATAATTCTTGACAATTTCCGAAGAACTCAACGTAAGTTACAAGGTAAATTACATGATTATTTTTTTCAGACTAGATTACTATTTTCAAAGCTTAACTCCCATAGATACCGAGATATAAAGTATTTTGAGAGTATGATATTACTTATTAAAGTTATTAATTATAAGACATTTCATTAAGAGGCTTTTATTAGCTTCATCTGTATGTATATTCGTTACTTTTTTCAGTGGTATTATACCTCTAGTGGTATATGTTTGAGTGACACTGTAACAAAGCCATAAACAGAAAACAAACAGTTTCTAAAAGTATGTAACTTTTAATTGAATGCATAAATTAGCATTGGTACGCCCACAAAATGCCGTTATCAAATTAGGACACAATTTGGCACAGGGGATCGTAGTAGTGAAAGGTACCTTTAACAAAACAGCGTGTAGCCCCGTCTTTCCAGCATTTTTTCAAACACTGTGAAAGTAGGTGAAGTCAAGTGGGAAAATCGGGCTAAGAGCACGCCTATATCACTTCAATTCCACTTTCACTTTATAATATAATATACAAGTCAAGCGCCAATCAAAATCAGACTGGACAAAATGTGACTATGGCTGACTTTTTATCGAAAATAATAGTCAATCTGTGGGGTTTATAAAATGAACCATACTAGTGGTTGCAAAATTTTTGGGATCGAATAGCAATGGAATATCTATCTTCGGACAAGTGCTAATAAGTAAGTCAGGCCGATGTGTGAAATAAATGACCGCGAAATCGGCAGCCAAAATAATGCTCAAACTATCTCACTGTTGTTTTTAATACAAAATTGACTATACATGCTCAGGATTGAGCTCCAACTGATGGTAAGTATTCGTCAACATTTATAGTAAACACGATGACTATTACAGACGGCTACCACTACTAGTTTTCTATTGTAAAAGTTACCTTTAAATGAGCATCATAAGATTTTTCGTTCTAACGTAATTTCCTTTCAAATTTCCGGCTAAGGCATAGAGCAGCGATTATACATTTATACAAGCCATTTCTCACTTAATCATATTTTTACCGTACTGATGACAGATAAAAGTGGGATCCATACTCATAGGTCTTATCCAGAAAATTTGCATTCGAAATTAAGGTCGTAAATAAAATATCGGTACTTCGGACCGAGATCTGTACGAAGTAAAAAATAGTTAATAGATTCAAGTAATGCCGACCGTACATTCTGAGAGCCTTAAATAATTTTATAGGAATCATCATGATTACCAAAGTAAAAATAAAAAGGACAGTAAAGTTATCAAACCGCTCTCCTTCTTTGAGTAAAATCAACTTAATCCACCACTTATCTCAGCCACCTATTTAACCCCCTTTTATTATATCCCGATTCTAAAGACATTGATGGCGACAGAACCACATCATTATAACAATTACAACAGCAATTAAACAAAAGCAATCAGCCCCTGAAAGTGCTCGATTTTTGTCTAAAACGAGTAAACCCGTTTTTTATAAAGCCATCCCTGAGGAGTTATTTACACATACCCTTCGTAAATTTTTATTCAAAGCCGTTTGTGGTAAAAAAAGGTTTATTTCAGGGAAGAGAACTTTGCTATCAACATTCATATCTTACAGGACACTAGTGCCCAGTGTGAGTGAACTAAATTCTAGCGTAAGGTCCCGTATTTTTCCCAAGGCGCTCATAAGCTTTTGATTACCATACGCAATGGCTCCCAATCAAAATGTTAATCATCGACAGTAACAACTATTTTTACGAGTGATCTGGTGGTGAACTCGGTAGTCCCAAAAAGAACAAAAAAATATATTATCTTCGGCAGCACCGAGGCTATAACCCTTCACATGTTCAGGTTTTCCTTACAAGAACTTGATTTTGATCGTTCAGTATTGGTTGTATAGCAGCTATATAGACTAGTGGTCCAATCTGACTCAGCTCGTTACGCTGCTCTTTTATATTTATATTTTATATGGTCTCCGACCATGTGATAAAAATTTTCTGGCAAACTTAATATGGCCTGTTCAGGATATACATATGTTTAGATGGTTAAGCCTTTAAACCCCTGATAAATTAAATAGCTAGATTACTTTACATCTCTTTCGTACGTAAGGATTTCTGACCACTAGAACAGAATTCTAAATTGAAATGATATTTCAATGAATAGTTCTACTCTGAGGTATGATTTACAATAATAGATGTGTAGCGTAATTAAAATGTTTCAGAACAAAGGTTTACTAGTAAAAAATTCGACATATTTGATCAGTGTATAGTAAACACAGCCCGAAAAAATTCGAGTCATAAATTAATTGGAACAGGAAATCAACATATTGTTTTTTATTCAGCGAGCCAAATAGAGCTCTTAAACCTTACAAAACATCATATTTGATATCGCTTTTTAGACTTAAAAACTAAGAGATCTTTTACTACCTGATTCCGCAAAATAAAACTGGAAATCTAATCAAGCTAAAAAGTACGAATTAAAAGACCTGCAATCAACAGATCCACAATATTTTTATTTGTTGTTAGTGACTTAGTGAAGCTTAGTCTAAAATCTGCTCTTCTCTCTTTAGTTGAGATATTGAGAAGAACGACCTGATGCCGCAGATGTTTTAACCGATTGTCTTATGAGTGAAACGAGAACAATGTTTATGTTTTAACAAATTTATATTTCAAATATTTAAACTTTGACTGCGATATTGGTATTTGTGTTTCGACCATCGGCCAATTGGGCATTACTATAAATGTATATGTGTGTCTGCAATCAAATTTATGTTCACCATCTCAACCTCTCTTTGTTCGTCTTCCGACTCATTATTTAAGCTTGTCTAGCACTTTGGCGAACTCAGTTCGTTATAACAAATATTGCCTTCTTCAAGATAATGAATAACGTGGCTATTTTTGTTCAAAACCGATAATATTTCCCATTGCCATGGATAAAATAGTTATACCATATTGACTGCGTATAGCTTATTGATACTTCTTGTTAAATTTTGCAACCATAACAAAAAAGCAAACAAGAAACAGTACAAAAATTTCTCTCATCAAGTATTCTTTCAAAAGGTCAGCATATTTTTTACATAAATATATTTATGACCGCATCCAATGCACATAAAATAGCATACGTTCACTAAAATTATTCGATATGGTAAGAAAATTGTGATATAATAAAATAAATTGCGATATTATTTGAAAAAGGTAATTTGACTCCAGTTTATTAAAATTTATTGACCAGAGAAGCAGCCCGCAGGCGTGACGGCGCGACGGCGCGACTGCAATTTTGTTTTTATTTTGTGTGGTACGTAGACAGAAGATCCTGCATTAGAAGCAAGGAGAAATGTCAAATTATTATCTTTTGACTATTTAATAGGTAAGGAAATTGAAGGTAACGTTAAGGTAACGAAAAATATCTTGCGGTTATTTGCTGTTTCTTGTTAAATATGGCCATAAATTAAAATGCATAAATTCGGATACTCACACATACAAACACGATTTTATGTATGACGTCGGTATAACTGTGCTTCGGCGGTGTAATACTGTTACACTTCAAAATTATAATGAATTTTTGAAATAATAATAATAAACTACGTATTTTGATTTCATGAGAATTTTAGTGTGGCCATTGCGATAAATTCGGTAAAAATGTAAACAATGAAATGTCGAATGATGTACTCTACTTTAAAGTCAAAAGTTAGACGGTTAAAATATGAAAATCTCTCGACTTTTTGTCATACTCTCGTGAAACTTTATTTTTAAACTGTGTCTCATTGAGTCTGTAGTAACTTTCCACCCTCCGCATTGTCGACAAAACAGCCTAATTGCTCTATTGAAACTCTACTGAACTCAGTCATTGACTTAATTTGTCTAAAACGTGACAAAGAAAAGTTCTGAACTCTTAATGAAACGAGAGAATCAACTGTTTACCAGAAAATATATCTAAAGAGCAAGTCCAAGTGTTATGCAGACCATTTTAGATAAATTTTTTAATTTTCTCTTCACGTGAAACAGTCACCCGGGATTACACTTAAAACCCGTCATCCTTATCATTTATGTAATATTAATAATTATACATTTAACTAGATTAGTTGTATTTATATGAATTTCGTTCTTAAAATAATATGGAAACTATTTTTTAATGTGTTAATGAATTAATTTTCAAATCCCCATCATAAGTATTATCCTCTCCATGGAATGCATTGTTTATGATGCACCCCTAGTGCTTCCACTTTCTGCCGTGCATGCTCTGCCCACACTTAATTTTAAGTTTAGCTTTCGCTTTGTCAATTTCATAACTATTTTGCAATTCGATATACTCGTTTAAATTTAATGTTAAGTTCTAGCATTATTTGTGAAACCCACAGCTAAAAAAATAATCTAATTTATTATCAACTATTTTTTCAATTATTTTTTAATAAGTACTTGACTATTTTATGTTTTTTTGTTTGATAAATTAATTTGATTTATACCTAAAAGAATTAAAAATTTATTTAATATGATTTACATCTCAA